AGAGAGGCAGCACCTTTTCTGAGATGTGCTTATAGTTGCATGATTGTATGCTTGCTCGATTTGATTCAAAAGTCATTGCAAAATACCACTCCCCCCCCCCACTCCCATCACAACCATCATTGCTCATACTCAAAACCAAAAGGAAGTGAGGATATTTGTCTTGTCATTCAAAAATCCATTTAGCATCTGCAGCAGATTTTGTTCTCTCTGGAGCTTCAAGAAGCTGGCACAGCATGAATTGAATTTTTTCCATCCTGCATCCTGTGTGGCTTTTGCTGGTTTAAAAGCTTTATCAAATAATACATGGATACTGCTGACTGTGGTCAAGAGAAGTTCTAAAATATCTGCTGTAGCTTACACAAAAGTGTTCTAAGATCTCCTAGTGAAGCTTGTAGCTCCGGCTAATGCAATCATTGAAGGGGAAGACGAGAGATCAGATTTTAAATACAAAAAGGATGCTCACAATTCAGATTAACTCGAAGATCCCTTCTGGTTTCTTCTCATGGTGTGGAATATTTTTACTTTGAGGACTCTTCTTAGGTGACCTTGGCAAGTGAACTGACTGGGAATTGTGACTGATAACTGCAGCTTGAGGGAATTGAATTGACACATTGAAGTAGGATTGTTGACATGTTAGCATTGCGCAGTGGGTACAGCTCTCTCTCTCTGGGGGGTGGGGGAAAAGAACTTACTTTTTGTTTTAAAAGAACATTTATTTTGTGCTGCAAGACACAGTAACATCCCCCAAAGGCAATTCCTGACGATGGAATCAATAATCAAGTTGTGAAGAAATTTTCCATAACCAAGCTGGAAATAGAGCATGGGAGGGCGGAGGAGGAGAGTAAAGTTAATCTCCTCAACTCCAATTAAACCTGGCAAATTATTCAACCGATTGATGCGATAGATATCACTGATCATGTCTTCTGTAAAAGTGTTGTAATTTGAGAATATTTTAAAAGTTAACACCTCGGAAAAGCGATCAGAATTGGTTTATACTGCAATGGGATTCCCTGCGAGAAAGAGAAGCGGTAGCGCTCCCATGATTTCTGTATTAGTTATTTGTGGGAAAAAGAAAGAAACCATCCAAACCCTAACACAGCTACCAGCAGACTCTGAAAACAGGATGGTAAAACTATGGAGGAGTTGTCTGTCTATCCTTTCTATTTCCTGGACATGTATGTTATTTCCGCAGTATTGGGAAGAGGATTAAATCCATTACGAAGATTGGAATTGATCTCAAACCTCTTGGTCACTTAGGGCTCCCACTGAAGATGCCCTTGGATTCAGTTATTGATTGATATTTTGATCTGCACCTCTCGGTGCTGAATTGCATTCCCATTAAATGGCACCAAGCCCACTCGCACCCTCCCCCCCTCCTCCCCCACCATTGTCTATGTAGGTGAAAATATTCAGACAGAGTAAACAATTGTATCTTATTATTTTCTTCCTGGCAACTTCTTACCAAGTTGACACCTCCCCCGTATTATAGTCACAGCAACTCGTCTGCTATACCCCGAGTAAAAATAATCCTTGCATTTATTCTAATGGCTTATCACATCGTCCAAAAATCTCAAAATCTGTCACAGGATTTGCTACTACTATTATTAATATTGTTATTGATTGTACAAATTGAGATTTACTGAGTCGCTCACGGTACCTCGATATTTAAAAGTTAATTCCCAGTCTTTATTTCCCGATCTCTAGTTTTCATGGCAGATATTGTTATTATGGTGCATTTTAAGGGTGCTGAGAATCATGCAGCCCCTCACCCAAATGGTTGCTCTTCTTGTACAAGTCTGAACAAAACGTGTCAGTGGGTTATTTAACTACAAGACATGATCCAGCAATGTTTAATCGCATTTGCGTTTAAAATACCAACACTTTCCATCAAGGTCTCTGTTGGAGCGGAAACCTTGGCTGAATATATTCCCCATTTCCAACCTAAGGACATTGAGTTTGGCTCTCTGCAGAGATTGGCACAGACTGAGGTCTGAATATTCAGTGGCACACCCCAAGGTCCATTACCCAGGGAGCTTGAAATGTATTTTATGCTCATCAGTAAATTTAAAGAATTGGAAAATTTCATTATCAGCTTACACCACTAGGTTTGCTAAATCATAAGCAGAAAATAAATCTTGATTTTTTTTAAAATTAGGATCTGAAATCCAGCACTAATTTTCTCTCCACACTGTTTAAAAATTGCGCTGTTTAAGCTTTACACTGTTGTGCTGTTGAAACAAAACTTTTTTTTAAAAAGAATCTCAGCCATGCACTATATTTAATACCGAAGCTGTCCTATTGAGTTTACAGCCAGCACTTTCTATCTTGTCACAGAAACTATGTCGGCAGTATGCCTTTCAACTGGAGAAATAGGAAGTATAAATCAAATACTCTTGGCTGTTTTGACAGGAAGCAATGAATCTGTACTTCACCTGGGAAAAAAAAAGCCCACGTACTTTGTGAACAAGCAGATTGCACAGAATAGATGTCGCATGCATTGTTCAGTGGAAGTACTCAGAAACTGTGCTGTGTGCCAAGCATTGAAAATGGATTTGGCATTTCGCTGAGTGTCAGCTGTATGGCAGGATGTGATTGAACGCAGATAATTTGACAGCGGTTGCATATCACAGGAGCACTTTTCCAGCAGGTGAAGAGATTGTTGAAAATTATGGTTTTGATAGTGGGAGTCTACTGATTATCCAGTAAAGATAAAATCCATCTAACTAAGATGACTTGTCTTAGTTGGTAGACTATCAAATGTAGCCCACAAGTTTTTGTTTAATTATTGTTTACAATTCCATCTCCTCGAGATTAAAATTGAATTAGAAAAGGAATGTGCTGAAGGAACATCCTTGGTAGGCATTGTACAGTATTGGGTACTTTTGAAAGCAACATTGCCTTGTGTGGATATTGTATTTACAAATTGTACGTATTTATTGCTATTTCTTACAATAGTTATCTTGCTCTTTCTACCTTGCAACTTGAATACCGACAATTTAAATCGTTCAAAAATAAACAGGATTAGGTTATACATATTCGTAACCTGAACAACCCCTGATATTAATGAGTTCATGTTCAATTCCTTTCGCGAAAATTTCTCCAAAATGTACAGCTAAGAAAGGCTTTCGAGAACCAAGAGTTGGGCACTGATCAAGAATATTCAATATTCAACGTTTTTCAATGGATGAGGAGCAGGTTATTGCTCTCACAACTACTGTGTCTTACGAGTCTTGACATTTTACAAACCTCGGAGCCTGCTTTTTTAAAAAAAAGTTTTCAAATTTCTGTGTGTTTGCTCATGAGTTTATAGCAAGATCTAGAATAGATTTTGAGTAAATATTTTGTAGTGAGCCAATCCTGATACACTGCAATTTTAAAGCAAATTCTCAAGTCAGTAAAATCATATTAATGCCTTACATAACAAATGCCCTTATATCAGGATATATAAAGCTAAGAAATGGACTCGCACTAACATCTGCGAACAAAATATTTCAGGTCGGAATAGAGCATTATTACTCCAATCCTACGTGGAGTCCTGTAGCTCAGTGGTTAGAGCACTCGCTTTGCAAGTGAGAGACCTGAGTTCAATTCCAGGCAGAGGGCGAAACCTTGGGCAAGTTTCCTTACTCCACACAGAGCCTAATAATAATCCCTCCAAAACCAAACACAATAATAAATTGGTCATTTTCAATCCACGACTGTTTGTGGGACATTGCTGTGCGCAATTGGCTGCCGCGTTCGCCCACAAATATACAGTCAATTCACTTTACAGTGTGTTCTGTGAAGCGCTTTGGGACGTCCTCCCGACGTGAAAAGCGCTATATCAAATGCAAGGATTATTATTATTATTCTTCAATGATAGCAAGACAATACGTCTTCCAACTACTACTGTTTAAAATATTAATTTCACTGTTCAATTCTATATTAAAGTAGGTAACTCGTTTCATTTCACAGTGTAAGAATCAATATTATGTATTTTCCCTCTGTTTTAATTAAAAACATTACATTTTTTTAAAATTCCACTGGTTCTGCCTCCAGTCCTTTTCCATGATGGAGATAATCAGATCACTTTCAAACGCACAGAAATCCAGGTAGCTCATATAGTCTGAAGTTTTCCCCCATTCAGTAATCAGTTTCTAGACTGCTGATATATGTGTAGCTCATTTATCCTCTGGTACTGATTTACTTAATATATGCAAGTTGACAGTGGGTGTCCTTTTGCCAATTTATTTGTTAATAAATGCTGCCTAGTGTGAAGGTCAAATTATGTTAATATTGTTAGCGCTCCTTTAAATCAAGTGTTTCATATGCTGTAATCAAAATGCTTTTCAAAGGTCATACATTGATTAAAGTACTTAAAATACACCAGGGATTGAATCACCAAAAAAAATGAAGTCTTATAACTGTGGCTCACAAGAGATTAATACTTAGGCAAACAAATTATTAAATATCTGTGGCTATGTTCCAGTGTAAAGAATTAATCCCACTTCAGATGTGAATTAGATACGGGATGTTTAGATTTGGAAAATGCCGCCTTTGCTTAATCCATCAGATTGCACCCTAATAATGGTCCTAATTCCTCACTGCTCATGCACAATTAGGCTTTTAGTAAGTTTACCGAGGTGTGGCACTAATGAAGAATTTAAAGGTATCAGTAGGCTGTATTGTCCTTTCTTCCCACCCAAGTAGGCTCAAATTGATTAGAGAAAGGGCTGGGGGGGTAGGGTTTGGGGAACATGGCGAAGGGAGGGGGAACAGGGGGCAGGGAAGGGGGAACAGGAGGGAGGGGAGGAGGAAGGTTGCATAAACGGTATTTCTTCATGAAAATCCTCAATTTCTTTTTTTGAAAAAAAGGCTGAGACCAAATGTACGTGACCTAACCTGGGCTCGAGCAGGAGAGAGAGAGGCACTGTGCTAAATGAAGAATTGACGGTTAGGTGAATACCAAGCCTAGTTCTTGATTCTTAGCTCTAATCCATTTTTCCCCCCTTTGTTTCAAGCATGTCGACCTGGTTTCTACAAGGCCTCTTCTATGGACCCGTACTGCATGAAGTGCCCACCTCACAGTTACTCGCATCAGGAGAGCTCGTCTCAGTGTTCGTGTGAAAGAGGCTTCTACAGAGCTGAGACAGACCCCAGGGCAATGCCATGTACAAGTAAGTCACCAGATTCTCGAGAATTGTGTTGGAATATAAAGATATTAAAGAATTCACGGTAAGCTGCACATGCTTCTAAGGCGTATGAAAGGCTAACAATGGCATTTGGCTGAGGTACCATAGAGTGATGAGCACCTATGAAAGTGTATTATTACGAGTTGATAAGGGATTTTTCCCATGATAAGCACATGACACAAAGGTCAGTAATTTTATTGACCATTAAAAACATCTTCTGGTCATTTTGGTGATAAATTTTAATTTGGACTCGGGTGGATCATTTCACTTGTGGAAGAGGCTAAGCAACCGTGAATGTGAAGAATACCTTAAAGCACTGTCCAGTCAAGCTCACAGACACAGTGCAACTAGGGATCTATTCAGAAATGCTGCACTATTGACTTGGTAATATTGCTTTCTTTGTCGACCAAATGAAACCCAATCCCATGTATCCTGAAAATCAATATTGTGGCACATTTTACATATTGTTGATCATTTGTCGACTAGCTTTGTATCAACATTTAGTGTTGGGTTATTGCCCAGTTTTGAAATTTCTTGCTCTCTGGTGCATACCTATTGACAAAAACACTGTAGGCGGAATGGATCAGTTCCAAAGGCTAGTTTCAGCAATTAAATCAAATTTCTTTTTAATCAAATAAATATAAGTTTATAAACATGGATCTGTTGCCATATATGTAGCTGCTGATTTAAAAACAAAAAATCTCCACAGAAGGGAACCATTCGTGTCTGTGCCACTCTGTGTTTTGTTTGCTACTTTGATGACCAGTGATCAAACCGTCCTCAGGCACTGCATCAACCAACTCACTGCATTAACTGTTTACAAATATAGTAAGCTTTCTGTGGCATGCCAATAATGGGATTGACCATTGTAAGTGCACGATGAAAGACTTAGCAAATGGTACACAATACCTTCCCCATTTGGTTTTGCAACCTCTCACATTCCCATGTCTCTCTGCCTGTACAAACTCCCCTAGTTCAACCACTGTGGGTGGATTATTGAATTTCTTTTGTAAGGGCTTGAGAAAGACATCTTCCTTCAGCTGAGCTGATGAAAGTTGTCACTTTGTGAACGCAGCGTGGCTGAATCCATCCGTACAGACAGGTTGTATTTCCATTAAGTAGCTCAATACAAATGTAGGACAGACTACAACTTTTTTTTAAAAAAAAAGCTCAGCTAATACTGACAGCGGTGAACTGAAAATAACCAGTTAAAAGCTGAATGCGATGCAATGCAAAATGTTCAGTCTAAACGTATTTTTTCAACAAAATGGTGATGAATGTAATTATTTAATGTAATCCTGATTCTACATTATGAAATGTCTAGTTAGTCTGAAGAATGTTTTGGGAGTCATAGGATCCAAGGGAAAGGCAACATTTAGATAATACAACAAAATTATAATGATTCTCACATCAGCTTGTGTGTACACTCCACATTTTATCTCAATTGAATTATAGAGCTGTGTTCTGAAGCTTTTGTTGCATGTTGTTATTAATCATGTTTATATATATATTATAATCCCTGCATTTGATATAGCGCCTTATCATGTCTTCGATATGTTGATATATTATATATATTGTATTGCACGGTGGTGTACATTGTGGACCAGATAAATGTTGCAGCAATTCTAGGAAGAGAGGTTCTATTCAAGCTTCTGTCTGTGGTTATTTCCTGAGGGCTGCTAAACCCTTTGCTGGCTTATGTTTCCTTAAGTTTCCTTACTCCACACGCCTAATAATAATCCCTCCAAAACCAAAAACAATAATAAAATTGGTCATTTTCAATCTACGATTGTTTGTGGGACATTGCTGTGCGCAACTGGCTGCCGCGTTCGCCCACAAATATACAGTCAATTCACTTTACAGTGTGTTCTGTGAAGCGCTTTGGGACGTCCTCCCGACGTGAAAAGCGCTATATCAAATGCAAGGATTATTATTATTATTATGTGGAGTAGGGGTGAGCACATCTGTTTGTTTAGTTCGCTATTGCTGAATTAAACATCCAACACAATGGGGAAGAGGGATGAATAATCTAACCTCGTCATCTCATACTCCTTCAGATACATTGTGCTGAACGTGGAGCAATGATGCTCTGGTAATTGGCTGTTGCTTATGGCCAAAGGAGTCATGCAATGGTGAATAGCATGAGCTGAAAATCTTTCATTGAAGAATGGCCAAACGAAACAGAACTCTTTGAATTATTTCTTATCACTTTCTTCATTTCAAGTTGGCTAAGTGATGTGAATGATTCATTTTTTTTNATCAGTTATGTAACAGATGACAAATAGATTTATCGCAGAGTAAGAATCTTTTTCAAAATAATCTTGGCACCTTCGGAGATAGGAGGCTAATGATCAGAAACTAATAATGCTCCAATCTTTGAAAAATAACCATTATGGAATCTTATAAAGCCCATTCTATGTCCGAAGGATTTGAGGTTCAGACAGGGGAAAAATCATATTTCAAGCCATGTTCAATATTCCATGAGGTTTAGTGTCACACATGTGGAAGCAAACTCACTGACATAAATTTGACAGCTTTGTCATTATCTGACACACAAGCAATCAAGGGTCCTTTTTGAACACTTCCCTTAACTTCAAAAACATTGTTTCAAATAAAGTGGCACATGTTACATGTAACTCTATCCAGTGTCATCCCTCTAGGTTCCATCTATCTCAATTGCAGATCAATGATCTGCTTTTATAAGTGATAGGTAGTGATTGAGCTGGACACATGATGTTCCAGTTATGTTATAGCTGGTAACAAACATCACCAACAGTTAAAATCATTTTGTTTTTGAGTTCAGATTCTAAAACAAATTATTCCTGATGTTTTAAAATGCTTTAGTACCATCTTTGGAAAGTTGAATCAACCTGAGGTAATAGTTTTCCACAAAGCACGTTCGAGAAAATGTGCTTTTAAAATCTAAATGCACTGCCACACAATGTTGTTTCGGTTAATTCATGGTAATTAAGTAGCACTGCATCTGCATCACACTATTCATTCGTGGGATTGGCTGTTTAGGACGCCTTTCAGTGAGATTCTGTCAGAATGCTTTGCTTTTTTGGGGAACACACATCCATCAGTGCTATTAAGAATGCTGAAACTGCTGAATTGTGCCACAGGACTAATTCAGTCTATTGATGGCTGAATTAGTCAGGGAAACTGGATCTATGTAGCTGTAAGGAACAGATTAATCAAGATGAGTAACATAATCTGCACTCAGTGAGCCGGAGGAAACCACAGTTCCCAAAGAATTCAGAGTTTTTAACATTTTTTTGTATTTTGATTAAAAGAAACATAGGAATAGAGAAAAGAATGGAGAATAAAGGAAGGTGGGTGCCGTTTCCCCCAAATACTCCAGTCTTCTGGAGCAGCTTTAGAAACTAGATTTAAAAAGAACTAAAATGTAATTTTTTAGCAAGGCAATCCACTTGTAGGCTTTCCTGATCTTTGTCTTTTTATCCCTTTCAACAAATAGTTCCCTTTCTTTCAAGGATTAGACGAGTTTCTCTCCTTTCAACAAATAGACAAGTTTCTCATCGAAAACAAACATTTTCTTTGGGTTCAAAACGTTCAGAGACATTCGTTACAAATCAAGGAAATGCAAAAGAGAAACGATTCCTTTCAAAATCCCTAACTCATCATGTTTTTTTCAACAACTACACAGCTTCATCATTCTTTCGCCGAGCACATGTCTTCCTATCCAAGTGAAGAAAGTTTAGTTTTGAAATGTTGTGCAAGGTAATGGCTTGCTCAAATATATCGTGAAGTTCTTTCACAATGCAATTCTCGTCGTCAATTTTGGCTTTACATTGTAATCTGAAAATACAGCGGTGAAAGTCCAGACCGTAGATCACTTACATATACATAGCTGACACCAAAGGAAGGAACCTTAGCCTTTGACATCTGGATTACAGTAGTCAATATATTGAATCCATTATGGCAGAGTGACAAATCCTGGACTTTACAACTAAGGTTTAAAAGGTTCTCTCATAGAGAGTATTTGCAGTTTTTTAAGTATGCAGCCTTGTACATTAGTGAACCCCATCAGTTCTGTGAGGGAAAGGAACAGGGCAGAGGATTGAGGAGGAGACATCCATGGCAGAACAGCAGAAGGAACCCATTCCACTCACACACACACACACTACACTCAGAGAGGTGAGAGAAGAGTTCATACCCATGATTCTTTGATCCATTGATGCCAGGAAACCTTTTAGCTCCTATTTCCCTGCTCGGAGTAAGCAGGCAGGCAGGACCGGTAATGTGAAAAATGCAAATATAACAATTCAGAGCTTACTCACAGTCTGAATTTGCCAGATATGTATAATTACATAAAGAAGAAATCGCTGGTGCAATAAAACAAATTAAACCGGCTACTGGACATGACTGGCATGCCATATTAATGTTTCCCCAAAAGTCAGGTGGGACTTGATCTTAGATTTCAAAAATATGCTTTTTTTTAGTCTCTATATAGGTTTCTCTGAACACCCGATATTTCAGTTATTCAAAATAAGATGCTCAGAGCAAAGCAGCATATCTATGGTTGGAACAGTGCGTAGCACACCTGAAATACCAGTGTCTATAGATGACATGCGTAGATGCATACAGACATGAGCCTTTAACTGACCAGCTCACTGCTTAATCAGCAGCAGCTGAAGCCAGAGAACAGGGCTAGAGTGAATTTCAGTTGTTCCTCTCAGTCTCCGGCTCCCTTTATTTAGCTATACTTGAAGGTAAAGAAAGGCGCCATTAAGCAGAACCACTGGACTAATCGTGGGATGTTTAAAAATAAAAGAGCTCAGATGTCAGCGTCACTCCGCAGGGTATGGGTACTGGCTCCATCCAGTATGCATCCATCCACACCTGCACAGCACATCTGTGTCAAGAGAAGCATAAGCAGCAACAAAACTAGCAGGCTGAGCTTACCTGCTAATGGTATTGGAATGAATTGAACTGTCCTGAATTAATCACACACATTCAACCACACTGATGACTAATCTGCTAACTCAGGGAGACAAAACAAAATACCATCCGTCTTGTTAATGGTCAGTCTTTATAATTTCTAGAAACCAAGTCATATATCAGTGTATTCATGTCACATTGAATCTGGCTCTAACCATCTCAGTCACCATCCCGGAGTGGTGAGGGAAAGGTTTGAACTCTATGGCACTGAACAGTCCTTTTTCGATACAGATAGAGAATGTAGAGAAAAGCAGATACTTTTATAAAACGATGACAACCAAGATGTCCGAGAAGGGGTTGAAGTCGTGACTTTCGGTCTTAGATTTTAATGTTGAGGATCGCGTTCTGGTTGCTGAATAATAATAACAATAATAATCCTTATCACGTCTTCGAGACATCTCAAAGTGCTTCACTGTAAAGTGAATTGAATGGTTCAAGGATGAATGAATACCTGTCGACTTTTTCCACTTCATACCGACTTCCTCAACCTACTAGAATTGCCAAGGCATGAGGGAAAGCCCAGGAGAATGGGGGCATCTGCCAGAGAATTCAGAGAGACAGCAGGGGCCCCAGCAGTACCTGCAGCTTGAAGAGAAAACAAGCTCGTAGCCTCTGAGAGACCCATTCAGTTCAAATTTATCTTCTCCAAGATAAATCTTTTGCTGTCGCTCTGCCTGTTCTTTCACTGAAAAAGTTACACATGTCGCACAGCAGAGGTTACAACAGTTATCTGGAAGAGGATCCACAAGCCCCGATGACAGCAGCCAAATCCAGGCACAAACTAGTTGGCTCAACATGTTCACTGGAGCCGGCCCCTCGAACTCATCCCTGTTCATTTAGTTATCTTACAATCTTTTTTAAATAGACTTGATTCTGTTGGGCTTTCTTGGCGTTTCAGTTAACAAACTCATTCTTTGTTAACGTGATATTCTTTCGCCCACAAAATATACAGTCAATTCACTTTACAGTATATTCTGTGAAGCGCTTTGAGACGTCCTCCCGACGTGAAAAGCGCTATATCAAATGCAAGGATTATTATTATTATTATTATTATTTCGAAGACATGATAAGGCACTATATCAAATGCAAGGGTTATTATTATAGTGATCATAATCCTCACATTAGAGGTTTCTAAACTAAAACCAGTGTTGCTTTAAGTCACAAGCAAAACCCGAATGTAGAGCTCATTATCAAAATGATCACAAAATGCACCAAAGGCCAGAACACCCATCTCATCGAGTTTTATTTTATATAATCTGATCCGTGCATCATCCTCCCCATTCCTGTTGTTTTTCTGATTTGTTATTTTAAAGCTTAAAGGGCATAATTTATTGTATTCAGAGGAAGACGCTCTCTAGAATATGGTGATGTAACAGCAAGAGATGTTAGCGGAAAATGGCACGTTACCTTTTGCAAAGCAATGCATGAGAAATGCTTGACTCTTTTACATATTTTATCAATCTACAATGACATTATAACTTTCTGTACTGTTCCTGGCTCTTCTTTAATGCAGGATTAATTGAAACACAGCAGTTTAGAAGCTCAGAATAGACCTGTTGAAAATTGAATTAGTAAGATTTTTGTGACTATTTTTCAACTATTATCTTCCCTTTTCACTTGTACAACCACAAGTGGGATCTCTTAAGATTACTTATTTTATTGATTATCTTGAGGCTGTCTTTCTGTCACTAAAGTTACAATACTATGGGAAGCACACGTGAGCATCTGATATAGCACTCAAAGGAAACCCAAGCTCTCTGGAGAAGAAATTGCTTACTGTTTTATATGTAGTGGTGACATAATTTAGAGGGTTTTAGACCAATTAGTGGTCATCAACTAGCAAAGTGCATGGAAAAGAGTGTAACAAGTATCCTGGGTCACAGTAAATGCCTTCAGAAAATTATTTTGCAACATGCAGTAGTGGCACCCATTGATTTTGTTTCAAAGAGAGCTTTAAAGAAGAATTGAATGGCAGGAATTTTTGAATTGAAAGATGATACATCGTAAAAATGCGTCTTCTAAGGTGTGTTTATTAGGGAAGTGATCCTGGTAAAGAGGAAACACAAAGGCTATGAATGGATTGTGTATCAGTTCTGCTGACGTTGCCGTTTCAAAAACAATGAAGGAAAAGGGTGCGGCGCTATGAATAATGAAATCTGTATTATTTATAGTGCTGGCTCTGTATCTAAGAACACCAGATTCCTCTTGATTATATAGTGAACTAAAATGTTATTTCCACATTCTCTCCATCTTCCAGTGAGGATTAAAATGTTTACAAGCGGAACCTGTGATAACTGGGAATGTGCTGCATGAAAAGCACGCCTTGCATTCTTGATACCAAAATAATAGATTTCATTATTTATACGTTTTAGTCATTTTTACTGGTGGTGCACCGAGATGTGCAACATCCATTTTATACTTTTCCAAAACCTGACTGCCTGCAACCACAAAGAGATGCGTTTCAACTTTAAAAATAAATAAATACACATTACCAGTCATTCTAGGTTTATTTCGGGTAAAGATGATTTCTCAGGCTCGACATAGCAGCAGTCCTAGTAAGTTATCTCCTATTTGATGTAAAATTTATACTATTCAACTTCATTTTGCAATATTGGCATTATTGATTAGGTTAAGGATTGCAAAAACATCGTCTGGGTGCATATGCGCGATTCTGTGTGTGTATATGTGATTCTGAGGGTCCATTTCCTCTCTTACTTTCTTGGGTTTCAATCCTAAATATTCATCTACAAAAGAGTGATTCAAAGATGCTGACAGATATTCACGTACCACGCAGAGTTTGGGGTAAAGTTTTGTTTAAAAAAAGAGTTCACCCCTGAAGCTGCTAAAAGACAGGTTTAGGAATTTTCTTAATTGGGCTCCTGTGCCTACATCCATCTTTGATGGCTGCTTTGTTTATATAGGGTGACCAAAATGTGGTGATAACTACCCTATTATCTAAAAAAAAATTATCCTTTCTTTAAGACTTATTAGATATTGTAATGGTATCACGACTTTTTGGTCGCCCGTATAACCCAGTTTCTGGCTTTAGTGGCAAAATTTCCTGACAACTGCAGTGCATCTTTTATCCTCAAGCAAATCAAGTGTTAAACAATGTACACATCTACCTAGTTTATCCACTGAAAGAGCTGCATAGTTCTCCAGTGATTCAATAGGCGTATGCCTTTGCTGCGATTCCCTTGTGTTGCTCAGTTATGCTTCTGCAACCTGAGGAAAGTGCCTCTGGGTCCACATGACACTCAGACAAATAATATAACAATAATTGTTACGTTTGATATTGCAGCTTTTCAGGTTGGAAGGTTGTCTTAAAGCACTTCCCAGGATTCACTGTAAGGCGCAGTGACTGTGTATTTTGTAGCGATCTTGCTGGAATTGCCGAAACCTTGAAGAGTTGAGGTCGAGTGGCTTGAGTCACGGAGTGAGGGAAGCGAAAGATATATTCGATCTCACCAGCTCAGACCGAACAGCAGGGGACCAACTCTGACTGAACAAAGGATAGCTTAGCTCTACTTCTTTTAACATTGTCCTTGTTTTTTTTAACACCAAGACAGTCTGTGCAAATCTGCATGCTCTCACCCACCTGATGGTTGTTTACAGGCTGGGACCGCCCTTGGGTATGGGTCCCCTTGAGCTGATTCTGATTAAAACAATACACGACCATTACATCAACAAATAACAAAAGCACTGCGGTTGTGATAAACACACTTCTCGTTCCTTCTGAACCAATTTAACTCTTCAAGGCACGCAGTACTGATATTTTCCCATAACATTTTATCTAGAGTTAATACCGACTACCCAGTACGTAACCTCACACTTAGATATAAATTCTACAATTGACCTCAATTTAATTAGGCTTCTCGTGTCCGCAGGTCATTTCAATACTGACTGACGAGCATGAAGGTTGTCATTCCACAGGTCAGCTTGACACGAGCTAACAAATATAAGCATTCCTAACTGAACTAAATAATATATTTTTGATCATAACACTGTGGTCAATTCGTGATGTGGTCTATTTGTTGATGTAATTATATGTTAATGTCACGTAACTTGCATAAATAAATAATGAAAAAGTACTTTTAAAATTCAGCTTTTTTATTTGAAGAATTAAATATATAGTTAGTTAAAGGGAAATGCAAGTCTTTACTGTCTATGGATGGAATCAGACTTCCCCTGGTATATTTATTTGATCTATTTTGTTCCTCTCTGCTCCCCTCTTAGAGCCTCCCTCTGCACCAGAAAATCCAATTTCCACCACAAATGAGACTTCAATCATTCTGGAATGGAGCCCACCGAGAGAGAGTGGAGGCAGGAACGATATCACCTACAACATCCACTGCAAGAAGTGTGGCGGAGACGTCAGAAAGTGCAGCCCCTGTGGGAGCGGCCTTCACTTTGTCCCACGCCAGTTTGGATTAACCTACACCAAAGTCCTCATTACTGATCTGCTGCCTCACACTAATTATACCTTTAACCTTGAAGCCGTAAATGGTGTATCTGAGCTGAGTCGCAGCACTAAACACTTTGTCTCCATCAATGTCACAACCAGCCAGGCAGGTGAGAAAAATCTCTAATCTTCTTTCTAATCACTTTGAATGAGATAACTGCAAACAATTGCGAGCATGATCGGGTAATGCAAAAATCAACCATTTTCAAAGGCAATAACCTGGAATAATGCTTGAACATATTAACAGAATCATGCACCAAGTAAAGCTTACTCCATCCTTTCAGTTTGCCAGTTTCACTTTTGTTTCCTATCCCAATCCCATGCACCATTTTCCATTGCTGAATTAAAAATTGATCTCATTTGTCCTTGGATATTTCAACTGATCCAGCACCCACTGCATTAGGTGGGAGTACATTGTATCAGAAGGTTTATCAAGGAGAGAATGGTACCCTTCAAAGCCTGCACCAGTTACTTTTCACCTTTGCTTCTGACAGTAGTAATTCATCCTGGAGTACAGATCCACAAGATCCTAAATCCTTCCCATATCTCACTCAAGAGGTTATTATTCCAGTATAAGTATAGACAATGATGTTGACAGACTATCTGACAGTAGTGGTTGGGGAAGGGGGTAAAGGGTTGGTACTGTACCTCAGCCCAATGTTCAGTTCACCTGATGTCTACAATGAGCATTTTCCAGTAAGGGATCACTGGATAAAGATCCAAATTGCATGGAGCTCAAGGGATGAGAAATTCCTTCATGTTGACTCGAGCTAGTCTGGGCTACCGAAGCCAACTATAGTAATACCAACACCGTTGAGCCATTGAAAGAGATCTGAGACCACGTTGTTCTGTCATAACTGGGCACCGGTAATAGTACTGGCAGAGAGTGACAGAAGCATTTATTTCCTTTTTAATCTCACTTCCTCTGCAAGACACATTTCATTTGTAATTTGAGTTTTAGTCAGTCATCGCTGCGCTATATATATATATATAATTCCATGGGTTGCATTTCTTCAAATTTGTGAAAAATCAAGATCTACTTGACATTCTGCAAACTTGTTCCAAAAGGATTATTTAGTGCACACTTGAGTAATCAGAGCTATGGGATTGCACTAGTAATGACCTGCAACTCTAATCACTTCATACGGTTGTAATTAGACATCTCTTTGAGCAGTTCATATTTAGTAGCACTTGTGAGCTGGAAGAGGGAAAGCAAAGTGAAACACACACCGTACAATTGAAAATGATGTGCCCAGTGAGCCAATCTGCAATGCTGTAACTGTGTGTTATTGAGCTAAGACACCACTGGATGCCAGGCTCTCAATGACATTCAGCACATACTGAGTGTTGTCAGCTTTAAGTTCTTTCAGAGAATTATTTGGGCCTGATCTTTGGCAATTATTGTGAGTAAAACAAAAAATGTTCAACGATTGCCAACTGGCACGTTTTTAAATGTTTTTATTTTTTTGTACTTTCCTGGCTCCAAAACCATCAATACAGCAAAAGTTTCAGGGCGTTGAGTATTTTTGGCTTTCTTGAGTGTTGGCAATCCTCTGGAGTTCCAGAGGAAAGGAGGGAATTGTTTTTAGGCCTGGTTAGGTTGTCTAAGAGAGAGCAAGAAAAAGAGGGAGCAAGAGAAAGGAAGAGAGAGAGAGCAAGAGAGTGAAAGAGAGTGAGAGCGCACAATTGGCTCAAGTAAGTTCCTTCATGCATTGCCACCAAATACTCTTATCCAGTAATTTGAGCCAGGAGCATTTGCACGAGTGGATTTATACCAAGGTTGTACTCTTCCACCTTCCTGACTGAAGAGGATATTGTGGATGTGGAGCGGGGTGGAATTGGAAGAAATTGCTGGAAGGAGATAATGAGAACAGGCATGTATGGATCATTTCCAGTCTCTGTACTAAAGTGGAGTTTCGTTCACAAAACGCAACACAAGCATAATGTTAGAATCAGCATAAAGTTAATTTGGGGTTTACTTTGCTTTTTTATGTTTTTCTAGATAATGACAGATAGTAGTGAGAATGTAATACTTTCACCTCTAATGTTAATATAGTTTTTTAAATGAAGAACTGAATTGACCCACCAGGATTCAAATCTAGAACTTTTCCGCTCCCTTATCCAGTGCGTAACAAACTGAGCAACACAAGATATTGTACTATTAGAAGCCATCACCAAGTTAGGAAGCAAACTTCACCAATAATATGCCTTAACATCTCATTGTGCCTGCACATACACATTTGTAACTCTCTCAATGAAACTGCTGCTTTGGTGATGATTTGACTATAATTATTCTTCAAGTTTGGCGCCAGAAATTCATACTCACAACAAACTAAATTACGACTGCCCTAAGTTACTGTATTTGAGATTTAGCTGAGAGAATTTTATTTTATCTGATCAGTCAGTCTGGTCTGGATTTCATCCCAAGTCCCAGAGGCAAAGGGTCAATGTGCTAATGCAGTCCTTTTACATTCATTGTGATCAATATTTATGAAATGCATATAACTTGGTAAAACTGTTCTGAAAAAGCGAAACATGAAATCGTGTTAGTTTCTAGGTCCTACGTTGCAGTCAGTGTAAGAGCCTCACTTATTTTAGGCCTCGTCAATCTCACTGCCAACTTGATACTCAAACCCTCAGGCAGATAACAAGAAGACTGATTTTGCAGAAAACTGTGCAGTATATTGTAAAATAATATGTCAGGGAGTGAGTTAAATTTCTTAATTCAACCCAAGGATGTCTAGAGACAGATGGAGATCCACTCTTGCAATTTATTACTCTTGAATTCTAGCCTTTCATTTCACTTCCAGGTATAGAGGAGGTATTTTTGTAGTATTGCAGCATCAGAATTTGTTAATACTATAACAGAACCAGAACTCATAAGAAAATTACAGCTTCGGTACCTGGTTTGCAATGATTTGAAAGTTGGGGTAGCATTCAGGGCCCTGCAATTAGCCTCAGTGACCTCTGGACTCTCTCCAGATCATGAAACAGTTGAAAAATGTGTGCTGTAGTTAGGCTTAGAACAGGATTACTCTCAGCTATCATGCTGTCACGGTCAAAAAGACGGTGACGTCCACTCTCAAAGGCCATATTAGTGAAGAATGCTTACTTATGTGAGGTACCAGAGAGTATCGTGGATACCCAACCGTTAGTGTTCTAAAGATAAATAAAAGGAAAGAAGAAAATTGGAAACAGTAAAAATAACAGTACCATATGAGATCAGCCTGAAGAAATGCCAACCAGAATCTTCAGTCATTTTTTAAACAGCGTCTTCCTTTACAAAGGAAGCTTTACATTCAGTTTTATATGCTGAAAACTTTTGAAACTCTTTAGATTTGCAGCCTGCTTGTGTTTGTGCTTGTGAAAAACTTGTGTTTTTCCACCCTACTGAGTAAGGAAAACTGTTTGTTTGTAAAAGGTACAAATGCACAGGATAAGGTTTGCGAAACCCAACTGGTGAGGGTTGTGTAACAATGGGTACCATTTGGACATTGCCTCAGCTCTCATCACTTTCACATCAGAAGTGACCTTCCCATCAAATAGAGGAAGAGCAGGGACAAAGATTTTGATTCCGTAAATGTGATGTACCTTGGGCTCATAAATCAATCTGTGTGATCAGCCATTCATCTTCTCGAATATTTGATGCAATAAGAACCAAGGCCGAGCAGTGCCTGGTGGAAAGGATGCATGGTCAAGGGTTTACCAATGTGACACTTTACTAATTACCTACATTTCATCTGCATTGAAGTGAATGTGATTCTGAAGGAAAGAAAGAGCAAGGACAGCATCACTCTAGCCTGGCAGGGACCAGATCATGCCAATGGTGCAATTGTGGAATATGAAGTCATCTATTATGAAAAGGTCAGTAATGTATAAACCACCAATTGTCATTCTGCTGAAAGAGGAAAGAATGTTTATGAAGAGAACCTTCTGTAAAGTTCAAAGTACTTTCATTGAGAATAGAGGAAAGAAAGACAGTCCTTATATTACAAAAAATCAAATGAAGGGCCCATCAAAAATATTTTATGAACTGAGTGAAAAGACAACCTCCCGCCCCCCCCCCCCCCCCCCCCCCGACACAATTATTTTACTCTTGTCTCACTTCCTTTGTGAGTTTTGTTAATTCTTTCCCATTTTTTCAGTTACTTGTGTTCTGGTGACTGTATGAACTGTTCCCAAGTCATTCCTTAATCATAGACTTGGCTGCCCGCAGGATGTGCCTGGTGTTATTCCAATTCCAGCTGTCCTGCCCTGCTCAAGGCATGAACAGAGGCAAAGTAGAAAGTGCTTAACCTTCCTCTCCGCTTGTGAATAAGGCATGAATAAAGAGAAAGAGAAATGCACAATCTTGTTTTTTTTAAACCCAGCCTTCTTTATATTGACTAATATTATTGTGGCAATCAATGTGCAGAACACTCCATGAAGTGTGTTACAAGTGTATTGGCTATTTCCATCAGGGATCATGACCTCCAGTGCCTACACTGGGTCCTCTTTACTGGCATCAATCAATAGCCGCCTGACACTTCAGAACAGAATGAGTTGAATCAATATAAAGTCATTAAAACCTTGGCTTATGTGTTTAATGCAACAGAATCAAAGGGACCAAAACTATACGGTTTTAAAAACCAAATCGAACAGCATGACGGTTGATGGATTGAAGCCTGGCACCACTTATGTGTTTCGGGTCAGAGCTCACACCAATGGAGGTTACGGGACCTATGGTGGTGAAATTGAGTTGGAGACTAGTCAGGAAGGTGAGTAAAGGAAGATCAACTCTGAACTCAAGCTCAGAAGAAGTGAAAGGTGAACAGTTAGTTTAGTTCTATCTACATTATTTAGATGGTGGTGAATGTAGAGAGAGAATGGACTGCCGAGGGTGGAAGCAGATTGGGTCAACAAATTCATTCAAAAGTTTGAAAGGTAACCAATGTTCTTTTCTTATTTAGGGAGCTGACCAGAATTGTCTTTTCCAGTCCTGTACATTGCTATTTTCCTACACCAAACCTTATTATTTTAAACCTAATGTGATTGTTTAAAATGATTCCAAGGTACTGATACATTTAGATTTAGTGCTATATATTTTAAAGATACTGTAATACATTTGCTCCTCAAGAGACGTGCCAGCCAGGAAGGTGTTCTGTTAAAGTGACTCGTCTGTTGTTAATCCATGCACAATCTTTGCATTGCTCAATTCTTGACAACCTTTTCAAATGCCATTGAGATTTCCTTGTGAAACGAGCTGAGTTGAGACTGTTTCTGAACCTGAACAATAATGTGGCTTATTTGCTGTCTGGTATGTCTATCAACCTTTGTACTAAACTAAAAAAAGAACAAATAGATTTGACGGCTATATGCACATCGTGTAGTGGGGTACTGGAGATAGGCCTTACGGATGAAGGATTCAAGTTGTGATCATTCTTCAATCAAATGTCTTCTCTTCAATTCCTCAAATACAATCCCTGTATGTATCAGCTGTAGCTCTGGAATATTTGTTTGGAAGTTATCCTCTCTGTGACCTGAGAGTGGTTGATACTCGACTATCACTGGCTAAAACTAAATAACATGCCCTTTGTGGCTGTCAGATTGTATAGTGTATTAACATACTTTACTGAGTGTGGGGTGGGTGGGGAGGGGGGGAAGATAATGTGAATATACATCTCTCAAGAACTTGCATGCTGACTTCATGATTTCATGCAAGTAGTCTATAACAGGCAGTGGGGGGCCTGAGCATTTCACAACAGGGAAGGAGTAAAATGCTTTCAGACTCCTCTGCACAGCTGGTTATGGAGCATCTATAGAAGAGGCACGTGATCTGCCTTGCCCACTAGCTAGAATGATGCTTGCGACCGAATAACTCCCAATGTTAAGAAAATTAGCCGAGCAAAAAGATATATGCACAATATGAATAGGTCTAAGGATATTTCACTCGTGACTGTGGTCTTAATAAGTGCAAATGGCCAATTACTGAACAGCAATAATTGTGCAGGATTTTTAAAAATTGTTTTTAAGGAAGAAAAGTGCCTGAAAAACTGTCACTAGTTGAACAATGCGAATTTGCATTTCTGTTGCGAAAACTGGTAAAGATATGATGGATAATTAATTTGAGTGGATTATTGCTTTTTTATTTTCCATTGGAGTGAGTTATCCCTTCTTTGGCTAGTAAAAATGTTCATTTCTGGACAGGTGCTGGCCCTGTCACCTGTTTTTTTATTAAAAGACTAACAACAGAACTGCGAGTCCACAGCTATTAAAAAGAATAAAGTGCACACCAATGCCATAAATCCCAACTCATTTCAAAGCTTCCACTCATCAGCTCTCAATGTAAACTGTAAGCCGCCAATGGAAAATGAACATATTTCACAAAACTGATACATAAGAGAAATTGTAAGATACATTTCTGGATTTCGCAAAGGCTTATCATCTGGTTCCAAATGTGTAAACGTCCTCAAGCATGCCGGACATGAGCACCAGATCCAATTTTGCAATCTGCTTTGGGCGAATCTAATTTGAATTGGAAAATGGGAGTGTTGGTCAGTACATTGTTGGAGGAAAGAAACATCTCTTTGTAGATGTGCCCTGAGAGACGTTTCCATTCATCACAGTGTCTGGCAAGGAGTATGTTCAGAAACAAATAAAAATGTCCATGTTATTGCCCAGTCATTCCCTCACTGGCTTGCACAAATCTGGTTTGAAAAGGCATTGATAATTACAATTACAATTACAAACACAAAGCAGAGAGAAGCTCTTCTAGTTTGGTGCTCATTTCCCTCAGCTACTTAAAAGAGAGATGAGTTCAGAGAGTAATAGGTTTAAAATCTTACATCCTGTTTGCCTTAGACTTGTAGCATAGAAATACCTTATGATCATATTATTTCTGCATGTAGCATGCCTTTTAGAGAATTAAAGCAGATCATAAGGTCTGAAAGTCCCTTTAATGAATAACGTACTAATCGGCTGCCAGCACCTGTAACTATAAACCAGTCAGCCGACTGCTTTCAGGAGAAAAAGGAAGAAAATTGGAGATAGGAGAAGATGCTAAGTCATCCTGCAGTATTGTACTATTTGAAACAATTCAGACTGTCTGCAGGATGATATGTTCAGCACAAGATAAATGCTTGATAAATGACCTGCCAAAACCAATGCCCATAATAACCTCATGAAAGTGGCCTGTTTTACAAAAATAGTTAAGTCACTTCTTGCTTGCAGCATCTGAAATGATAATAGACCTTCAAACCTGTTTGTTTTTGTTACTGATGCGATGATTGAGCACGTACAAATATGTTTGCTTTCATCTTATTTTCAGACATGCTTGCGATTGGTGATCCAAACCAGCCTACCATCATGGCCGTATCTGTTGCTGGTGGAATAGTTCTCCTGGTCTTCCTGGTTACCTGTTTTGTTGTCAGCGGAAGGTAAATGATAAACATTTTTCATCAATTTCTTTTTTTTATTTTAATGTAGTGAATCGGGAAGGGGGCCGGGGAATATGAAACATAGCTCATGGCAAGACCAAAACAGGGCCAATAGAAAATTGCGGAAATATTTGCCAAATCACGCTCGATTTTGATGGGTGAATGGAACAGGGTGATATAACAAATGCTGATGCGAAACATAGAAGATATGAACGCCTGGAATATGAAGAAAAAGTCATTCAGCCCATCGAGTCCATTTGTTCCGCGGACCATGTGCAATCTACCCAGTCATGGACTGTTTTGTTGAATCCGCAAAGGCAATGATCTATTATTATTGTTATTATTCTTATCTGCATGAATATTCGTTGATTCCCAAATATAATCATGCAAAATGCCATAGTTTATTTCTACTTCAGTAGTGTTCAACCACAGCAATCACCCTCCACAAGCAATACCTCAAGTACCAGCAGCACAGAAACAATTGTGTTCCATGCACTTTAGTGGCAGCTTACAGTATCTATGGATCTTCCCCACTCCCATTGCAGAGAATATTTTGAGTAATGTGCAATCTATTCAGGAGATTTTTATGGAGTGTGCTTATTTTCCCACTACCAAGAGGTTTGCTTCTCTACCAGTATTGGCCTTTAGTTTATATTTAAAGTAAATTGTGTCTCATCTCACTGACTTAACTTAATATTCTTACATTCTTCAATCCTGATTTTAAAATTGAAAACTACTGTACCATAAGTCTGAAAGCTTGATCTGTGGGATATTGTTCTTAATATTAACCCCTATATAGTTACTTCAAGAGGCGTCTTAGATTTTCATTTTGCATGCAAATTAAATGCAATGTTCCAGCAGCCCTGTTCAATCAGTAAACTTGCTAATAACAAATGTCTTTGGAGCAGAAAGCCACATCTATATTCATATATCCTTGCACAGTTAGATTGAGTGAAGCATGCAATGTGGGCTCTGGCTTAACCCTTCACTTAGACTGATTTGATACAGCTCATTGCATTTTCTATTTCTAAAACCTGTAACCCAACTTAAATGAAATTAGAGAATCTTAGAAAGTTTGCATTTTCTTAAATATCAGTATAGCTTTTAATTATAGAAAGTTATTATCTGTGGTGTATACACTATACCTAGATTTGACAGTCTTCTGCGATTTCATTCTAATTTGTAGATTTGGTTGGTTTTGATAGTCAGATTTGCACTTTGCACCAATTTCCATTTGAGGTTTCATTGCCGTCTAATTTGAAAGAAATGCACTGATTCAATAGATTGTGTGAAAGTGCTCGTAGCGTTCTTCAAAACCCAGAAGAAATCTATTTATTCATTATCCCAAATATAAAGGATGAAAGTCTCTTTTGCAGTGAGAGGAGAATGCTATTTTTTCACCTCTTTGATCTGGGGATGAATTTGACCCAGACTATACTGTATGCTTGGATCCTCTGAACTAATTACCTTCTTTACACAGAGGGTTGGAAGAATGTGTAATCTAATGCCCCCAGAAAGTTATAGTGAGAGAATTAATTGGGCTATCTAAAAGGAACATGGAGTGTTAATTGCGATGCAAGAGTATTACAGATTATGGTCAATAGGAAGGGAAATGGGATCAAAATATCTGCTACGATCTAATAAACTGGCAGAATAGGCTTGATGTGATGAATGGCTCCACCTGTCCCTATCTACCTAAGAGTTAACACAGAATACATATTCAGAATGCAGAACCAATTGAGGGATGCAGTAGAGTGATGCGTGCTTTCAGGTTAGGTTGATGGTACAGCGATGAGCAAGAAATACTTGAATACATCCTTCTCAAGTTGAAGCTGGTGAAGGAGACCTTGAGCTGTCACTGTGCATAAAGGCAAAAATGATTCTATTACCTAGTGTTCCTGAAAGAGCAGAAAATGTAATAAGGATTGGATACTTCAATGCATTACTGGGTTAGCCCACTACCCTTTCCCAAAACTAACTGCCCCTAATTCGGCATTGCATTTGCAATCTTACTCAGAGGGCCTGCCAATGTATGAAATAGAATTGTCACCCTTTAAAGTAATAACCTGGAAATAGTGTCTCCTCTCCAGGTTTTCATACAACTCCTCTGATTTGTGGGTTAACAAACCACATGTAAAATTGGCAGGTTGGATCAAACATTAAAGGATGACCAATTCCCTTGTATTATTTTTCATTACCACGACTGTTTGTGGGACACTGCTGTGCGCAATTGGCTGCCACATTTTGCCCACAAATATAGAATCAATTCAATTTACAGTCCATTCTCTGAAGCACTTTGAGACGTCTAGAAGACGTGAAAAGCGCTATATCAAATGCAAGAATTATTCTGATTCTTATTAGTTATTATATAAGTAGGGATCTACAATTCCCTCTGTACACATGAATTTGCAGGTGGTTAACACAACCTACATTTATATTTTGCCCATGGGTTGCTGCCACCCCACAAATCATAAATTAGAGCAGAATATTGTATAACTAAACTCGTGGAAGTCCAGTGGAAGTGCAGTCTAGTGAGTCCCTCATCTCCCATCTCAAGACCCTCCTCTTTGACCGTGCTTTCGATCTCCCTGCTTCCCCCCCTGCCCTTCATCCTTCCCAATCCCAACCCTCAGCTCAGGTCGGAACAGTCCAGTGCCTTGGGACGTCTTCCCGACATGAAAGGCGCTACACAAATACAATTTTGTTGTGTTGATATCAAAGTAATGTTTTGGATCATCATCAAATTGGCCAAATACAAGCTCTAATGTGAGATCTGAATTTATAGTGAATGATTCCCTACTCAATTGGCGCTTTTTTTTAAAAAAGGTACTTTCTTTGTAAATCCATTTTTCAGAAGATCCATGTTGGTGAGTTTATTTATATATAGTATATATTATATATATTATACATATATATTTATATACAGAATATATATACAATATATATATATAGGCACATAATATATAAAGTATGTTGAGAATCCCAATGGAATTTGAGTTTTCAAAGAGTAAAAAGACTTTCATTATCTTTCCAGAACGAATTACTTTTGAATGCAATTATCTCTCACCTTGGGCACAATTCCTATATTTTGGAAATTATGTTCACTCTTAATGGTTCACAGCCACAAATCCCAGCTCATCGGAAATCAATCTTCATTGCAATTTAATGGGATCAAAGCGCTGTTCTTACCCAAGAACCCACAGTAATAAGTGGATATTATCCAAAAGATTTTTTCCCCCCCGTTCCACTATTTTTCTTTAGAGATGAACAACATAAATTAAGTGTCAAATTGACTGAAGCTTTACAGCACTGTTTCTTGTTAATAGAAGTTGTTTACAAACGTCTCTCATTAATGGAATAAAAACTTGTCAAATTCTAGTGCAACAATTGATTTAGCGCGGTGGCTGGTCAATTGGATGGCACCTTTATTGATCTGCGCAGTTGCAATTAATCTGAATTGTTTGCAAAAGTCCAGGAGCTGGAGATGCCTGCATCTGAAGGAGGCATGAGTGGGCTTAATGCTTTATCTCATTTGTAGTCAGGAGATGCACAGAATCCAGAAGTGCCGAACAAAGATAATTAGACTTTCCTGGAGAGAGGCCAGATGGGGAAGGTGCTAATCAGCCTCCATAGGAAGTTATGTCTCTATAAATTATGCGTTATTATGGGAAGATTTTAGGCTTTACTGTTGAAGGTGTTCAGCCACATCTTTAATGTGAAAGAAAATTTCATGAGTTTAGCAGAGCCAATTTTGTCTCGAAGCCCCTTATTCTTAGATTCTCAAGACATTTTGCATTGTAATACTCAACATTTTGCATATATAAAGTTTAATGTGTGTTCCAAATGCCAGGAGTATGTTGCTAGGTTGTAAGTCATCAAAGGACCTGACTGGCAAGGTTAATTGTGAGAGCTTTGAACCTGGTAAAGTTTGAGTGTTGAAATGGAAGATGGAAACCAATTATTGCAGACTAGAGTAGGAATCTACCAGTGCTCCAATGCTATAGTTTCAGTTCTTCCCTCATTGTCATGCTGTTAGGTGTTGTTAGCCAAAATATAAGGTGATCAAAAGCAGACCTTAACTTATTCCCACCCCAACTCTCTGGGTTATGTATTTTCTGTGATCAAACAAACAGTCTCCACCTAAACTCCTACTAGTGGTATTATTCTGTTCATGAAAGGTCTCAATGAGTGACACAGTGACAACTTTTTCTCTGATCTGTGAGAAGGTGTCTGATCTCCATTGGGTTCCTCCACACGGGAGCACTGACCTGTGAATGATGAGACCTACATTCCACCACAGTTTGGTGCCAAGCTTTCTTTCTAATTATATTTCTTGAATTTTACTTTGTTTTCGGTAGCATCTACAGATCGCAGTTATATTTTCCCATCACCTGATTACCAAACGAGGATGGTTAAAACACCGAGAATTATTTTGCACAAGTATAGTACCTGTATTTATTGTCTAAATATATTACCATAAATATATTACCATACGCTAACCCAGAATGATAGAAATTGGTCAAAGTGTAGATATTTACCCAGGAATCCAGTTTAGTTTGAATCTGATCCCTTCAGGCTCATGGTTTAGTTTGGTGTTGCAGAAAACGAAAGCTATTTCCACTGATGGTGGTGTTTAAATGATGTCATTCACAGTGGAGCATCTGAACAGTAACTATTTTCTGCTCTCAGCTTATTCCTGCTCCCTGGGGTCTGATTAATGAGAATATTGCATTAAGCGTCAAAGTTGGCTACATCTTGATAATTGGACGATGGAATATGTGAAGGGGACAAAGTGCTTCAAAGTGAGCTAGTAAACCAGCATATTAATATTCAATATCTAGTTTGCTGCAGAGAGGGCATCTACAGTAGTTTATTTTTATCCTTGCGAAGGCAGCACCATGAGCTTGCAGTGTGGTTCCACATATAGCGGCAGTCCAAAGTCTTCTAACTGCATAACAGTAATATTCCCAAGTCTTACACAATGCATTCATGGCATTTCA